GGTGGACCAAATTACGAATGCAGTTCCTCTGGTTTTGCTTTCTGTACAATAATAATCACCGGTAGTCAGTTCAAGATCCCTAAATATTTAGTGTGCATTGCTCTTATTTCACTGGCTTCCGCTACACTTTTCTCTAAAGCCTCACACAGTAAATTTCCTCAATCACAGAATCCACTTGGTGTTGAAATAAACAATTCTCTTCACTGAGGCCCCAGCAGTGTGTCTGTGATTTAATCGTTTTCTGTTGGTCTCAGTTAAACAAGAGTCACAAGATGATCAGCAGTTGTCCAATTATCAAGATGCCAAAATCCATTGCTCGTGCTTGCTGATAACATGCACACGCACTGCAGTTAAATCTGATGAGCTTGTGAAGTGCTTCAAAACCACAGCTTGCAGAGGTTGTTTGATTCAAGTCAGGGGTCTCAAACTCCAGTCCTGGAGGGCTGGAGTTTGAGACCCCTGATTTAAATCAACCTTGCAACAGTTTCTCATCTGCTTTTAAATAAGCAGCCCCCCTCACTGTGGCGAAAGAACTGTGAAAGATAAATAAATTAAATAAAAAACTGGATGTGTGTGTTGAGACACTGGAAATGTCCCCTCATCCTCACCTGACCATACTGGAAATGTCCCCTCATCCTCACCTGACCATACTGGAAATGTCCCCTCATCCTCACCTGACCAGGCTGTATCCCAGTTTCTCCATGTCTGCGGAGTCAGAGGCGCTCTTCCTGGCCAGGATGCCTCCGTGGACAGCGGGGTGCAGGGTCTTCACTCTGCCGCCCAGCATCTCTGGATGTCCGGTCAGCTCGGACACATCCCTGACACACAGCAGAGACGGGTTGAGACAAAGAACCGGCCCTCGGCTCAGGCTTTGAATGCAACCGAGGAGTCCAGCGAAACTCCCAACCTGACAGCCAGTCCGGCATCGCGCAGGGCTTTGGCTGTGCCTCCTGAGCCCACCAGAGACAGCCCCACGTCCACCAGGCGTTTGGCGAACTCCACCAATCCGGTTTTATCCGACACACTCAAAAGAGCTGCAGTGACGGAGACAGAGACTCGTTTAAAGCGAGGAAAAGCTCTGCACGCTGGCTAATGCTAGCTGCTCAGCTAGCTCTGCGCATGTGGCAGAAACACTTTCACCAGGAGACGAAGCTTGGATAGAAATGAGGAAAAAACTCTTACCGAGCTCCGCGGAGGCCATGTTCACTGCTGCAGTCAGGAGATGCTCTGGATACCAGCTGGCTCTTTCTGCGGAGGCTGTTTCACTTTCAGTCAGCGCCGAAGAGCAAAAAGAGACGAGAAGTTTTTTAAAAACTCAAACTGCGCTACCAAACTCCAGGGAACCGCCCCTCTGAGGTCGGCCTGCCCACATACCAAACGCACCCCAAACGAACCAACAGCGCAGAAAATGGGCTTCTTTTTTAACGCAAAGGGTTGCGGGGGAAACAAACATAGAAATCCTGGCCAAAACTTCAGAATTAGTGCCCACGACTTTTTCTTTCTTTATTTTAAATTTTGCACTATGTTATAATCAAAACCTGTGTTGCTCTGCTTCTTCCATGCATATTTGATAAATCCTTTAATCTTTGAATTCAAGTCTTTATGCAAAATTATAGTTTTTTTAAAATATAAAGTCTATTTTTTTTTATATGAGCCTTATATTCTTGTCTCTCTGGTAATTTTAACCGAAATTAATGCGTCGTGTTTTTGTTGTTTTAAATTTTCTTTAGGAAAAAAAACCAGACCAACATTTTATGATACATTTTTCTCAAAACTACATAAATAAAAAACAACAAAACACATAAGACATGAACATTTCAAGGACAAAAATAAATAAATATGTTACAATAAAAATACATATATATATTACAACAACGTTTCATGAGGTAAAAGTGTGATTTAGTAAAAGTTAAAAATACCACATAAAAAAAACTGGATAGTTTTTGTGTTTTGAGAGTGTCTTCTTTTATTTCTCCACCAGAGGGCAGACATAACTCATTCAACTCAAACTGTGAACGAATGGACGCACGTGATCAACAGTTTACCAAAAGCACAACATAGTATAACATATTGCAGTATATATGTAAATAACTAAATTATTTTGTTTCAAATCTCTTTGCATAATTGAAACTTTAAAGAAAAGCAACGAACTTTGCCCGCATCAGCGATGCAAATCTCCAGTTTTACTTTTGTCCATTTGTTGATTCAGTTTAAGTGTTTCTGCAGGTAATCGGGCGCTGAAGGTTACGCTGACGTCGAGATTGGCACCATTCTCGTTATAATTGGCGCGACACCTGTAACGCATATTTCCTGCAACAATAAATGACGCTCTGTGAATACATCCACCCCGCTGACGCCTCTTCAATAAACTTTACTGGTATAAATAAAAATAAAAAATAAAAATAAATAAAAAGTGCTGCATTTTCGTGCTTTAGAACAGCGTTTTAAGTCGGACAGATGTGGATTTATTGGGCCCCGCAGTACTTGTCCATTAGTTAAGTGACGGGACAGGGGCCTTGGGAAAGCAGCAGCAATACGTGTGATTACGTTAAAAGATCGCGCAATCTGTTCATATTTACGTAATGAGTCCGACGTTTGGCTGATTGATTAAACCGCGGGGCGTAAATATTTTAAGGGGCCCCTGATTTATAATCCAACAAAGCAAAAAGACGCCGATTTATTTGTGTAACCGTGAAAATGGGGGTTTCTGGTAACCGCTCTGACATCCCAGAGGTGACTTGAGTGATTCAGTGGACCATGAAACGGTTTTATGGTAAAACACAGGCTCTCTGCGCGTTATTGGTTCAAAAATGAAAGGAGCGATGGAGCCGTCAGCACTTTTGTCTGAAGGGCCGCTGAGAAAACTGACAGCATTATCAGCACTAAGTGTAATTCATGCGCGGGGATTTTTTTTTAATCAACGCGGCGCCTGGATTTGGATTAAATGACAGGATGAATAGAATCAATGGCCTCCATATATTGCTGCCCTGCCTTATCAATTAGCTGTGATTTTTGTTCTGTGTCAAAGGGGCCTTTTGTCAAACAGATGACACGTCACGCAGCTAAATTAGGTCCTATTGATTTGCATAATTTTTCATAAATCTAATTTAAAAAACAAAACAAAAAAAAAACACACATTCCAGTTGATTCATTCCAGTCTGCAAACCAAGGTGTTCTTTGCATTTTGAGTTAAAGGAGAGGAGAAAAAAACAACAAAAAAACAACAACAACAGATTCTTAGAAATCCTCTAGTTGCAGCTGAGACATTTGACTGAGCAAACGGTCCAACACACATTTTGTCCACACAAAAATCCATCTGATTTTTGAAACAATTTGTTTGGAATACAAAGTTTGCCCTGATCATCGACTTGGCTTGAAAATCCTGTTTGCTTCTTTGTTCGGTTTGATTGTTTTGCTTTCCGAAAATGGTTTTTCAATCAGAAGTTGCACCTTTGTGAAAGTGCATCACAGAACCAAACACTGCAGCTCACATCTTTGAATCAGCTGGGTGTGGACAAAATGTGTGCTTCACTGCTCTTCTTTTCACATTGAGATATGTAGTAGGCTATCAGAGTAAATTAACAAAGTTAACAAATTAAATAAGTTAACAAATATTAATGTTTATCAATTTTGATGCAATCAGATTCAGTTTTCCTTTGCTTAAAGGAATATATTTATATAGCTGGTGTGTAGGAATGGTGTGCATACTATTTGTTTTGCACGCTCAACTGTCCATTTTAGGGATGTGCTGTGAACATTTTATCAAGAGTAGAAGTCATTTAACTCAGCTAAATAGCAAATACTTCATTTATTACAGAGGAAAATTCAACTATTTGATTTTATAAAAACTGTTTCTAAGTAGTTCAACCCAGACACAGGAATGATGTCCACTGGAATCACCTGCAATCGTGCAGGATTGAAAGTGACAGCTGGACTGTTTGTTTCTGGTAAATCAGATTTTACAGTAACACAGGGCAACTGCATGATGTGATTGGACAAAACATTGGCAAAACAAAGCAGTAGTTTATATTGATGCACCTTTTTGCATTTTAAAATTTACATTATGAATCTGGACATTTTTAACAAGTGGATGTTGACTGTGCAGAGCCGTGCTGCACATGTGAATTTGTCTGCATGCTGTGTGGTTGCTCTCAATTTAGTTTAATCCAACACTGGGTTATTTAATCCTTTATTCTCCATTCACAGCTGTGAACGAACAGGACAAAATAACAAGCTGCCATTCGAGTTTTTAAAGAAACTTGTTTTATGCTTAAAAGAGCCAAGATCTTCTGAGAAATTGTGTAATCTCGCGTGTGGTTGTGGTCTAACATGGGGTGAAAACACACCTCATCAGCTCTACACCAATCTGCTGCTTAATCACGCTGGTGCCCAATAAAAGTCTGAGCCAGTTCAGCTCACTAAATGTGCTGTTGCTGTTAAAAAATGGCCTTGTGTGACCGCTCACCATCAGGCTTTTCATTGCTTTACTTCCCCTCATCAGTTTAATTATTTGGCTATCAGTAAACACCACCAAGTAATTAATATCTGGGAGCCTTGGTGGTAAATTGCAGTTGACGTGAAAGTTTCGATGTGCATCACACAACTGCAGGAAGCAACCTGCAGGAGTTTACAACAGGCACAGTCCGCACAGACACAAGCATGGTATTTCTATTACTGAACACTGCAGAATTTAGCCAGGTGAGTTTTATCCACACAAATGAATTCATTTTTTTATATTGTGAACTGGGAAATGTAAGCTTTCAATTCAGTTTGGCTTTAAATGAAAAGCGAACCAGATAGTTATGTTATTTCAAGACTCTTCAAACTGTTCTGCCCCACTTGTAGGGTAAATATAAAATTATTTGGGATTTGTTTGGCCAAAAAGTGCCAAACAATCAATTTTTTTAACATTTTGTTTACCAATGAAATATCAATGAGAGAGTGTGAAAACTTGAATGATTTCCAGTCGTGTGTTGCTTTCGCTTTTTTTATTTCACAGTTGTACCACAGACAGGTTTGACATAAATACGATTCTAATTAATCTTTGCAATCATTCAAATAAATAAAACTCATTCACTTGCATGTCAGTGACAGGAACGGATTCGTCAACGTTGGAAATGACAGGCGAACAGTGATATTTACACTAAAACAATGCAACGCGAAACGTTTGTGTCGCAGTACCATGCAACCTGTTTACCTCCGTGACTCTTGAACGCAGCACAAACTGTAAACAGTTGTTACATCCTTCATTTACAGAAAGTGTGCTTGCAGGGTTGAGCTCCAGCTGTCAGCAGGTGGAACAAACAGGATGTTGACAAATTATAAGTGTCAGATCTGCAGGATGATGAAAGCTGAGTTTTTCACATGCTACAAGGTTTACAGTACATAAAGTGATTTTATTCAGATACTAATTAGTCCAGAATGTGCTGTGTTAATTATTAGTGTTTTTTTTTTCTTTAAAAAAAAAACAAGAACTTTTTTTGATGGAAATGAAAACAGTCATGTTTTCAGATTTGGAAACTGTCTTTCAGATTAAACACAAACTGCTTTTTGAGCAGTTTTCCTGGTAAAATCTCTGTAACATTCAGGGTCTTCCTTGGGGTCTCCTCACAGTCCTGCCCCAATCTTCCGGTCTCCTCCTCCTCCAACCTGAACCCCCTCCAGCTCATCATCGGAGAACGGGCTGAGGGGGTCGTACCCGAGCTTGTTGCTGTGCTGCAAGAAGTCTGTGGACCGTGATATTTCAACTTTGTTGCTCACAGTGATGCGATACCCATGCTGGCTTCCGTCCTCCTCCTCCTCTTCTTCTTCTTCATCTTCCTCTTCGTCTGCCTCGTCGTCCTCCTCCCCGTCCTCTCCGACCTCCAACCCGTAATCGGCCCGTCTACCGTCCACATTTAAACCTCGTCTGGCCTTGTCTGTTTTGGCGCTGGCTATTTTTCCTCCACTTCTGAGCTGCTCCCCCTCCGCCTTGCTGGAGGCGGATGCCTGCTCCTTGGCTTTCCTGCTGCGCTTCCACTTCATCCTCCGGTTCTGAAACCAAATCTTGACCTGCCGGGAGGGAGGAATGGAACCGGACAGATATATTTAATACATCTGAAAAATAAGATCTGCATGACAACAGTTGTTCTTCAGACAATTGAATTTGTAAAGAAATTACTGGGTGCTACATTTTATTTTATGTAATTTCATTGTTCTTTTTTATTTTCTGTTGCCACAAATCGCCTTTGGAGAAAAGTTCTGTTTCATTTAACTCTGCCACTGGTGAAATGCAACACAAAATGTACGCAAAGAAAGGAAGCAGAATAGCTCTAGAGTTGGAGATCATTGACATCATTGACTGGATTTATGAACAATCTTGTCCTCGTTAAAGTTGTATATAAAGTTCATAATTATTGTTCATTTTTAAGCCCATGCAATATTTTAATCAAAGCTTTTATGGTGAAAACAATACATTGATTTTGTTGTTACAGCTTTAAATTCATTTGGTTTTACAGTTACTCTTTTTCTGTTCAAAGGCCAAAACAAACCATTAGAAATTGTAGGAAAGTCTTAAGATTTAGCAACAAAAATCCATATATCAATGTTAAAGGCACCAACACGCAGCAGTCTGGAATGAGAACCTTTTCCGTGTTTGCGTTTGAAGACTTTCACCCCCGAGACACGATGCCAAACCTCCTGATGGATGACGCCATCTTACCTGCGTCTCGGTCAGCATCAGGGACGTGGCCACCTCGAAGCGCTTGGGTCTGGACAGGTACTTGTTCAGTTTGAACTGGTTTTCCAGCTCCAGGAGCTGCTGGCTGGTGAAGGCCGTGCGAGGCCTGCGACATTTCCCCAACAGGCCGGACTGGGGGCCTGCTGGAAGAGGAAGAGCATCAGTTGTCAATCACACATTTCGACATTTCTTGTCTCGAGTGCAGCATACAACTTTGGTATAAGACGTATTTGAAGTTGGTTGCAAAGCAAATTTAGGTTCATTTACTTTTTTTTTTTTAATATCAAAATATTTGGGACAAACACAGACACCTCTCTTAATTATAAAACACCAAGGACATTAGAAGTTCACTGTGATGCTGTGGGTGGGAGCAGGGACACATATGCCAGCACTCTGTGGCCATCATTAACTATAATAGCTTCACTGCAGTTTATTGTTGACGGGGGCCCGCAGCAGAAGCGGGCGCAGGGGCCATAAAAGCGCAGGCATGCCATTAACTTAATGAAAATCCAATGAAGGCTTTTGGGGTTTTATTGATGAACTACAGTACGTTTTAGGTGTTTGTTTATAGTTACTTCGTCACACAAAGACAATTTTCATCTTGTTGGCGTTTATAGAGAAATAAATGAGACAAAATTAAAAATATGACACAAGGATAAGCAATAAATAAAAAAAAATAAATAACGGAGACGCGTTGTACTGGCGAGAGACTTGAGGCTGCAATTCAACCTCTGGAGGAAATACTGTGTGCAAATATTATTCTTTGAAAATAACCAAAAAAATAGAAAATAAAAAAATAAAGAAATGAAAAATATTCTTTTTAATTATGAAGAAGCAGTAAGAAAATAAAAGGAACATTCATTCATTCAGAAGAAAATGTTATTTTATTTCAAGTGCAGACTGTGCAACTTTGAAAAGATGGAAAGAAAAAAAGAAACCGAACGAAAAAAAAACCATCCCAACCATCAAAAGCTTTGCTAATAATAATAATAATAATAATAATAATAATAATAATAATAATAATAATAATAATAATAATAATAATAATGCATACCCGATGTCTCAGAAACATCATAAGCGATATGAACTGTTTTTGTCTGTTTTCTTTTCTTCCATATTTGGAAATTCTCTCTCTGGGCGGAAAGAGTCCCGTTTGCTCACACTTACAGGTGTAATCCGGCATCCGCGGCATCATGATCCCGGCTCGGATCCAGTGTTCCAGGGGCAGGGATCCGGCCATCGCGGCCGCCTTCAGGTGCTCCGGGTAGCCCTGCGTCAGCTGCGTGAAGCCGGTGTAAGCGAAGGCTGGGTGCTGCGCTCCCAGGGCGCTCAGCGGATACATCGGTGCCGGGTACATGCCGGGAATGGCGCCCGGGGTCAGAGAGGCAAGGCCCGGGTGCGGGAAATTTAGGACGCTCGGTTTGGGGAGCATTCCCGTCTGGAGGTGGGCGCCCCGCGGGGACGGGGTGTCGGCGCGGTGGCAGGCGACGGGGCTGCCCCCGGGGCTGTCGCTGCTCAGACCCGGGGAAACGTCTCGACCGCCGCGGTTCGTCTCGTCGGCGAGGAGGGCGTCGATACGGAAGTTTTTGGATTTTTCCATGCCGTCCCAAACGAGTGATGAAACTTTTGACAAAAGCGAGCTAAGAAAGGCGCGCACCTGTGCCGTGCGTCAGCGCGCAGACAGTGAAGCCTCTTCAGTGAGACGTTTTCATGAAATCAGTCTGGTAGCGAGCAGGAGGAGAGGGGGGGCAGAAGAAAACATTCATTAACGAGTTATCACAATTTCAACGCTGTTTTATGGCGCTCGCATCCCTTTTTTCTCAAGCGCGCCTCACACATATCGCTCTGCACCATTAAAACTACAAAGGTGCGCGGCTCTCCACCAGCCGCCTCTCTCCACCTCCAGGGGGCCGGAGTGAGCGGGGATTGGCTGGGAGCGGAGCTGCTCCGGCGGGGCCTCTAATCAGCTAATTACTCGCTCGTTTCTTCCCCCCCAGAAAGCGTTCAGAGTGAGGTAATGTTCAACCCTTGTCCCGCCCGCAAACACCTTCAACTGTATCGGAGCGCGGGGGGTTACATTAGAAGATTGGGCACGTATATGTTCGGCGGGACTCTCCCGAGATCGGAGCGACTCGGCCCGAAGGACGAAGATGCTGCGGGAGTCAGATTCAGTCAAACTGGCTTCGAGCTGCTCAGAAAACAATCTGTCCATCGTTTGGGGTCTTTAATACGAACGCCCGCGTCTCGTCTCATGCTAAGGGCACACCATTTCCATTAAAGTTTACGATCAAGAATTACACACAAATCGTATAAAACTGTAATGACTTTGGCAGAGGAGGCCTCGAGTTAATTGGCCTCCCTCTTAATGTGGACTAATGCCATTTTAAGACCGAGAAAGTCAAAGGGCGTCAGCTGAAGACGAGCCTCGTTCAGTGGATCCTGGGGAAATGACAGGAGGCGACAGAGGCCTTAAATCTCTGCAGAAATGTGGTGCATCACTGACAAATTGTCATCAAACTTCACTTGTGTCACAAATGTCTGCAGCCTGCTTCAACAGATCTATCAATCTATCTATCTATCTATCTATCTATCTATCTATCTATCTATCTATCTATCTATCTATCTATCTATCTATCTATCTATCTATCTATCTATCTATCTATCTATCTATCTATCTATCTATCTATCTATCTATCTCTATCTATCTATCTATCTATCTATCTATCTATCTATCTATCTATCTATCTATCTATCTATCTATCTATCTATCTATCTATCTATCTATCTATCTATCTATCTATCTATCTATCTAATCATTTTTATTTATTTATTTATTTTCCGCATTTAATCAATTTTGCAGAGTTAAACATGTATTTAGAAAAAAAAATTACAGAATTGCTTCATTTTGTGCTGTATGAAAGGACAGCTGACCTAAAGCATAGATTGGCAATGACTGTATTCCACATGCAGTCTTTCTAAAACATGTAAGGGACCTTTATGGGTGAATCATGCAGGCATCTGCTCTGCAATAAAATAAAAGATAAAAAGCTAAATCACAAATCTACAATCTGAAAATGTTTGGATCAGTTTTACAAGTTTATTGTTAAATTTAATCATTTTTGCTCCTCCACCTTTCCACTCTTCTATCAGCTCCATCTGACCAAAACAGATATTCCAGTTAGTACTGCTTCATAAACATGGTGGAAGCACAGAAATATATATATTTTCTTTTGGTTTGTCCCCAAGAAGGGTGGAACATAAACAATTGATATAACCTTATAAAATTTGCACATTAGGGTTTTTGCTACTTTCACAGACTCTTTATTGTCATAGCTGTATTATTACTGCAAGATGTTTAGATTTAGTATGTGTGAACACACTAGATTGCAGTGCTGAAAACATGTCCCGAATGCAACAGTTTTCATAAACGCTCTGATCTCAGCACACAGGTGAAACGTGACAAACGCTGTTCGTGCCGTTTCTCATTTCTTGGCTTCATTTTGCAATTATTCGCCCAACAAAGAACCCACAATGTTAAGGGACTGCACTCATTTGCAATAAATGGGTGGTCCACAAAATATAAGAACTTTCATCCGTTTATTTGGCAGGGACAACGCGCATTAGGTAATATTTGAGTAAACGTGCCAGAATGAGCCAAACGGCTATTTCTCACTTGCTGTCCCAGAAACTGAGACTCAGAACTAAAGCTGAGAAACTGGGTTTTCTGCCATTAGATTACTCTGTTGCTGGAGAGTTAAAGTTCAGGCACATTGTGCTAGTCAGTGTTGCTCCATCGATAATAACAGTAAACTTTTTCCTTTCTAAGCCTCACATTATGCTGAGTGAGTCGTCACACCTTGTAAAGTGAGAGTTTTCAGTCTTGTGGCAGTCAGTTCATGTTTGGTTCTCCAGTGTGATTTGGTAGAAGCATCCAAAGGAGTCAGTTCGATTTACCTTTGATTATGTTCACAGGTGAATTTGGAGCAAAGAAGGAAATATTAACCTCTGTAGGTCATTATGTAAATTAGCTCACTATTGCTGGTTAGGTTAGTTTTTATTTTTACTTTGATCTGAACTGTTTTTTTCCCCCCTTCCCACCTTCTTCCGTCCTCTATCACAAGCCATTACATGCTCATGCCCTCTTGAACTTATTTCAGCGCTCTGAAAATTCAGCGCTCACACCCTTCTCACTGTGAGAGGACAATTGGTTCAAAGAGGCCGCCGGCCGTCGACTACAAAGCCAGAGTTTATCGACGAGTTATGCGTCAGTAAACTTAGTGGCCAACAGGAGTTTACTGAAACATTAAAGAGCTTATCAGCAATTACAGGCATATTTTTCAATCATTACCACAGCTCTGAGACGGCTTGCCCTGTCATTAAACTAATCCAGGCGAGCTCTTGTGCTCTTTGTGTGCCCCGGCGCAATCCTCACCCTTCAGTTCACAGATTGCCGCTGATTTCCTTAACATGCCGATAATATTTTTCACACTGCTGTCCAGTGATTAGGGAGCACATTTCTGGAGCTTTTGCGGTTTGTCATGCTGAAAACTTTTGATGCTTCTCCAGATGGTTTGATTCTCAGTCACTGGTACTCTCCAGGTGTGACGATTTGCCACAATTCAGTCAGCATTGATGGTATGTATGCGTGTGTGTGTGCGCGCGCGTGTGTGTGTGTGTGTGTGTGTGTGTGTGTGTGTGTGTGTGTGTGTGAGCGAGTTCCTGTGTCGCCTTGTGACTCACACAGGATGACACAGGACAAGGCTTTCAGGGACATTGTGGACGGGCACCACCTTTCCCACCAGGCCTTGAGAGCGGCACGGTGGCCGAGGCTGTGATAAATGGTCCGGGTGTACAATGAGCTTTCTGTGAAGTGAAAATCAACTCTCCCTCCCAGTGGTAATTAGACTAATTCCCACAATGTCTAATGCATGTGATAAATCAGCTTGCTTCTGCCAGACCTTGAGACCAAAATTAGTGTTGTCTCATTATGGAGATAAAGGTAATTTATTAGAGTTTTTCTTCTCTTTTCAGGCTCTGTACCTTGTCCCCATCATTTATTAACCAATATTGAGCTTTGCCTTATGACATTTAGCCCACTGGACATGAATCTCTTTCTGTCTGACTTTGCTACTTTGGCCCTTTCTGATTCTCCTCCTCTCACCCCCATCAGGTGTGAATAAGCACTTCCATCGGAGATAATGAAGCTGTTTACTCAGCCTGGAAACCGTGCCTGAGCTGATTATTTTCACGTATTTAGATGTTTACCTTCACGGTTGCCCAGGCGACCCGAACAAATAAAGCAATAAAAGCAGAGATGCTTGCAGATGCGACGCAGTAAAAGCCAAATCTGTCTAGAAACAAGACAGTTGATTCATAAATGCGAAAGCAAGAAAGTTCTTCCTGTACGTGGCTGAAATGAAAGGGTTTACTTACTAATAAGTAAATAAATATGCATATATAATTTACTAATAGATATACATATATAGTCTAAACTGTGCAAACTCTCTTTGCTGTGCATCACAGCTAAAGTGCAAGTCCACAAAGCAACAAAACTCTATTCAATTCAGCTGCTTGAATGTTTCTTTACGCACAAAGTTTCATAGAAAAAAATTGTCTAAAGCCAGAAGCTTCACCTTTTTATGGTTCTGATTCTAGAAATTCTATACATGATTCAGTTCTGTTCCAGTCATCGTAAAAACAAGTATTCGAGTATTGGCTCATCAGGACCTCGTGCTGTCTGTCCTAAGATGAAGAAGAAGAAGCTTCTTCTTTCAATCTAATAAATTGGCTGGCTACATTTTGTTAAGAGTTTTGTGTCAAAGCCAGTTATGACTTTGAAAAATAACTTAAACCAACCAAATTACATCCAGACTGTTTTTCCTGGGTTATACTTATTAATAGAGAGACAGCATTTTAAAGTCACAGACATTTTTCTCTGTGGGGCTAAAACATTTTGGGATATCATATACAATGAGTTTCAGTTTTGGAAATTAATGCTTGATATACAAAGTGAAAACATGAACCACCAGCTTGATATGTTTCTTTTGAAAACTCCCATAAATGATTGAAGAATATTTGGCGTTTCAGAAGTCTCTGTTGGAGAGATAATAGCTGGCAGGGAAAAGGAACCCGAAGCCCAAAATTAGAACAACTCCAAATACAAACTGTGGTATTTGGCATTTCTATGTTCAAAATTAAATTAAACAGTTCAAAGGTTTATCAAGCAATATTTGAATGAACTATGACTCAAATTCTTTTGGTCGTTAATTTGTTGACACAGTGAAGATGCCGGCAGATTCATTTACTGTAGGTAAGTCATTAACTACTCAAAGTGTCGCAGCAGAACTCCGCTACTAAAACAACAGACTTCCCCTTTAAGACAATTTGTAGCAGCGCTGTGCTGCTGCTGCTGCTGCTATACGTCTGCAAACATTGACTTGAGCTCTGCTGTTTAAACAATGTTGGGTTGTGTGGAGCAGGTCAGACGTTTTTCATAAAAAAAATTATTAGGTACCTCAACGCACATTAGCCTCAGGTAACATGTGCAATGTAAACTTTTATGAAAGAATAAAACACAAACTCATTGAAAATAAATTAAATTGGATGATGATTTGGACTACTTGGTGAGGGGAGTAGCATTTGTCTTTTAATGTTTAAATCGTGGGAACTTTCTATTATACTTGTAACTTTCCTGGCTTTTAAAGGTAAAGGGAATTTTCATTATATAGCACATTTTCAGTACAAGGCAATATGAAGTGCTTTACAGAATTTAAAAGGAAATACAAAAAAAAAAAGGCTAATAACATTGATCCAAAGTAAATTAAATATTCCTATTAAGAAGT